AAATCATATCTAAATTATGTATTTTATTTTCTCTCTAATAAACCTATACGCCTTATTGTATGTACTTAACCTTAACTCTATAAATTATATAAATTTTAGAATCAAGCACCAAAATTGTTGGGGCAACTTTAAACTCTCTGGAGGACCACAACTCAATCTGATCCAAAGTAATGCCCTTCAGACAGCAAACAACTTTTGGGGAACAAGTTCGGAATGAAATCAGACATCCTTAAGTTGAGGGACACAAAATAACAATTAAACATCAAACTGACAAACTTTGCAGTAACGAACAAACAAACTACATGCAAGATGTTCTTAACCAAATACAGGAATTATACCTACATAAATACGTATATATATATATGTATATATATGGATAGATATATAAAGTTATATGGCCGCAGAAGACGCGGAAAGTTCGCGCCCAGGATAAGCGCAAGTTTTGAAGGAAATGGCGAAAAGGTTAAGGAGGACAAAACTTTGTCAGCGAAAACGTGACATGAAAATCGCTGAGCTGATGAAAAATGCTAAATCGTGACGGGAATCCCCAAGCCCAATAAAGACACTTGGAACTCTTGCAACATTTTGTGGGTAAATGTGAATGGGACACATGGACTAAGCCCATAGGCAGTTGTAATTGAACCTGGACGTCTCTTAAAACATAGGAAAATATTGGTTTAGATTCGAGTTTCTAAAAGTAATTTTGATTAGTTGGAAATATTTGGAATGTTAAATATTATATTAAAAGTATGAAGAGGTTAATGAAGTTTTAAGGAATGTTTAAGGAACATTCGTAAGCTCAACTTAACTTAAATTAATGGGAACAGCTACAGATATTAAAGAGTGTTATATTAATATTCATAGTTAATTATATTAACCCTTTGGCATTTAACCAAGCTCCAATCTAATTCCTGTAAAAGCTATAGTAATGTCTGACAGATTAACAAATAAAAAATAGTCATCGTTCTGGGGGATCCGTGAAACTCGAGATCCGAAAACGGAAAATCTCGAGTTGGGGCCAAAAAGAAACTCCCAAATACCAAAATAATCTTTATGTTCGTATCTATATTTGGGCCACAAACTCCTGCGCCGGCTAATGGCTTCATTTGGTCCGATGTTTGTGGCGACTGCCTGCCCCCGGACACTTGATCGCTTGATGCCAATGCAGAGCGGAGCACTCAGTGCACTTGACTCCTCCTGACGGAGGCAGCATCACCATCACCATCAGCATCAGCATCAGCATTTGTATCGTTTAAAAATATCATAAAAACGATCGCTCAGTCTCCACTATTCCCATCTCTTTTTGCTCTGCGTTGGCTGCTAAAAATACAATTGAAAAAAAAACAACAAAATAGAGAACAAAATTGTATCTTGTGCGTTCCGGCAACATGCGTCTATTTGTAATTGTGCTGCTGATGCTGATGCTGCATCTACGGTTACGTGTTTGTGCCCCATAGAACACACAGATCTCCGAGTTGGTCCTCCGCCTAGACAAAGGCTAATGCACTTTTCGGGGTAATGCATAGATCAGGCCAACGCATCGGGAGAAGTGTCTTTCGATTTGATTTACAATGATCTTTCCCAGCATCATTGCTCTCTTTACTCTCTTGGCTACCTAATTGCCCACTAAGTGGGAAATGTGTTCAATGATGAGTCAGGTCTGTCAACCAGAGGGCTCAGCATGTGGGGAAAATTAGGGAAAAGTCATGGAAAATCATAGGAAAATCATTAGGGGGCGACTGTGTGGGTGGTCGAAAATGTAGGGGAAACTACAAAGAAATATTGAGATCAAGAAGTATAAAGAATACATATAATCTCTAATTTCCTCATCTTTTATTTGAATCAAAATTGAATTGTTAACCTATCACATTTGAAAGAAATATTTGCAGTATGGCAAACAATATTTCATTTATAATAATTAAAATATTTGCTTCCTCAAAAAATAATTTTGATAAATATTAGATATCGAAATATTGAAATAAAGAAAATAGTTGATTTAAAAGCTAAGGTATTTATTAAATAAAAACCTTTAAACAAACTCTATTGTTAGTAATGAAAATCTCCAAAGAACCCCTAACATTTTCCTTATAAAATAGTACTGTACCACTTTAAATTCAATTTTTAAATTTTCTTGAAGCTAAATGCTCAAACATTTCCCATTCCTCTTACTCTATGCAGTGCAAATACCCATAAATCAGAACATTTATTAAAAACTCATTTGAAACTAGAACGCTTCGTTGAAAGTTAGCTGCAATCCAAAGAACAAACGCCAGACGGAAGTTTGTTTTGCAATTTGCACTGGCTTGGTTGGGCTTGGCTTGGCTTGGCCACTTTATTAATTTTAAAATAAAATGGCACAACCATTAACAACGCACCAGCAAAAGTCCACTCCGACCGGTAACTATTGTACAGTTGTATAAAAAAAAACGAACACAAACAGTGGCAAAGCCACAATAAACAAGAACACAAAGCTGCAGCGAAATAAAACATGCTTACTTACACAATGTTTGAGTACGTGTAGGACATATATATCCTAGGTATAGTCCTCCCCAACGACCACTTCTCCGATGCACTGAAAAAAGCTGGGGAGGGGAAACCAAGATCCCGGGAACCCGGGAACGAGGGCCGCTCGGTACTTTCTTCGCACGCTTCGCAGTCATTTGGAGCATATGTTTCGAACATTTTTCATAATCAAAAAGCTTTTAGCGGCGGACACAGTGGCAATGATGGCCCCGGGCAAAAGGATGGCCAGGATCCCCGGGAAAGCCCAGCCACGCCCACCAACTGCAGCACAGCTTATTGTCCGTTTCATTTTCGAGTGCAGCAGCGTGTAAAATCGCAATAATGCACAAGATACCCTACGCAGCCATCGCACAGTTGTCCACGAAACAACCATTTCCCCCACATTTTCCGGGGATAAAAACTGAAGCCGACAACAGCAATTACGATTCGCAACGAATTTGGTATACACTATGATCCAGTCAGTTAGATAAGGAAGATTCTTACATCCTTAAATTTTCAGTAATAAAATGATACATTTTTGGAAAGATTTTAAACACTAGATGATATATTAATTGAGGTTTAAAGTTTGAATAAATTTTAAGCAGGATCCTTTAGGACATAAATAAAATATTCCTGGTTTCTAGTAATGATATTAGTTACCAATGATATTAATATTATAAGCATTGTAGAAATTAGTTGTATATAAAGAAAAAATGAAGGAGGCAATCCATGCCCAAATAAATCTATTTAACCTCTATATTCCACTCTGAAAAAGTTTGTAGGTAATAAAAATCTATCCCAAAGGAGACTCTTCCCAAAAATTAATTAATATATTTCCCACCTATTCCCAAAAACCTATATAACCTTAACCAAAGAGTATAAAGACTTGACAAATCCTAGCCAAAATGCAAGCAGAAGCGACAACAGTAACAACACTGGAAACATTTGTCATGGCAATTGATTGCAAAAGAAATCCAAAACACCCAAAAGCAAATTCAATTTAACTTTCAGCAAAAATAAACACACACCCATACCGTTGCCCACAACAACACAAAATAAAGCAAAATAATACGAAATTGAATTGAATTTTCATAGGCATAAATATGTCTCTAACAAATAGCATTAAATTACAAATGTAACACAAACGAAATCATTCGATTATAATGGCAATATTTTGTGCATTTCGCAAATTTCCAACAATATTTATTTGCCGTTGACAGTTGAGAGTCAACCAGATGATGACTTTTGAAAGAGCTACATTTTATTATTTGTTTGCTTTATTTATTTCGTCCTACATTTTATTGTATGGCCGCCTCTGCGAATGCTTTTAATTGCCTTTCATTAATTTTTACGCAATGCCGGTCATCATATGCAAATAAATTGCGCATACGCCCCGTTTGCTGCCACATAAAGCACATCCGTGGCCAGCAATGTAATTGATGCTAAAGTTTGCCTGGCAGCCTGCGGATCTCAATGGATATAGATGTAGCTCTTTTGAATCGTGGAATATAGGAGCAAAAAATTATAAAGGATATTGGTGGGTAAAGGCTTGGCTTAAGGATTAAAATAAAGTTAGAGAAATATTTTTGATAGGCTTCTTTTAAAAGATTAATTCTTGGAAAATATAAAGTAGAGTCAGATATATTAATATATATTATATATATTAAATAATGTTACCATTAAACCTTTGATATCTTAATCGATTATTGAGAAAGACTATGGACTATTAAAAATGTATAAAAAAAGTTCTGTAAATGAATTAAAACCCATTTTCTCAATCAATTATCAATAGTAAGAATTCTATAAATTATTCAGTCACCTAATCAACATCAAACCTGCAACAACCTTATCCTTTGGGAATCCTATATAAGAAAGAAGCAAAACCTGCTTCGAGTTAAAGTTCCTTGGCGCTAAACAATCCGGCTCAGAGGTCATAATTTCTGGTTAAGCTGAGCGTAATCGGCACTTTTACCTAAATGGACCATAAGGCGTTAAAATGTTGTTATCGCCCCGCACAAAAAGTCCTGGCCCACACACACACACACACAGACACAACCAACGTTGGCCACCCGTTGTCTTGGCCAAAAGAGACTTACCTTTGGCAATGCAATAAAAAGCCAAAATACATTTCGATTATGCGGCCAGAAAGAACATTTCTCTTTGCTTCGAGAAGGTTTTCCTTTCTTTTTTTCTTCTTTCCATTTTATTTTATTTCTGTAAATTTTCTGGCGGCCCTGGACGACAATTCAAAGTGGCAGTGAGTGTAAAAAGCCAACCCTTATGCCTGGCTTAAGCTAATCGAAGTTCCCGTACTTTTGGGCAATAAAAGAGGGAATTTTCGTAAGAAAATAGCATAAAATATAATTTGCTTGAAAGCCAAAATATGCTAAAGGAGGGTAGCGGTGTGGTTATCACTTTTATGGCCAAAGTATTCGAATTGTTTTGTGAAAGTAATAATCCGAAATTGATGTCATTTTACCCCCGAGCATATGGCCAAGTATCCCAATGCGTTTTCAGTCATAATTCTCTTTTAAAAAAAACAAAGTTTTGTACAAAAATTTACACATAAAGTTAAAATCGGTTAGACAAAAAAATGTGCTTAAGACTACTTGGAAGTTGTCTCTGTTGGTGAGTTTAAATGTCCTAAAACTGATGGCAAAAAAAAGAAAGTGTTTCCTGTCGCCTTTTGCAGCTGCTGCAAGTTGGGATTTAAATTGCTGTGCACTTTAATCTTTTCTGTCGTCGGATTATTGATAATCGTGGCTTTAGTCGTATACTTTTGTTTCTTCCACAACAAAACGGGCCAGACGACAGCAGCGGCTTTAACAACTACGGATGCCTCAGCAAAAATCAGATCATTACTTCACAGAATAGTAGACGCAATCTAAAATATTTAAGAGGCCTTTAAAGATATGGAAAATTATTAAAATGATGACTGCAAATTATATTTGATTAAAATTATTAACCGATTTCACTAACAACATGTGAGTTTTGATCATAACTTTGACAATATTTGAGTGTCTAATTGAAGTTACTAATTGTCGATTCCAAAGAGCTATAAAAGCTTAAACTATAATAAAATTTCTATAAAGAAAAAAATCAGGTAAACATTAAACCAAAATCCCATTTAAACCAAATGGAGTTCTCCTGGTCAAATCACTTGGCACTTGGCTTGCCCAACTTGCCTTTCACTTAACTGGCCAGGAAAAGCAAAGAAAATCTGTGGAAAAACCGCCAACCATCAAGTGCTGCCGCTACTGCTGTTGTGTGAAAAACTGATGCCAGTAGTTAATGGTACTTTGTATGCAAAGTGCAAGACAAAACGAAGGCAAACACAATGGTCGGTGGGTCTGAAGAGCCGGAAAAGCCATAGAGCCATTGGATAGAGATGGAGTAAGAAGTTTCCCCGTCCATCCGTCCTTGGTGGCCACAAAAACGTTTTTTTTTTTTGCTGCCATTTGATTATATAAAATTTCCACATTTTTCGCGTACTCCCACTTTATTTGCTGGCTGGCTGTAAGCGTTTTAGTGGCAAACAACTGACAGCTGCCGAAATGCCAGGAGCCGCCAGCTGCTCGTATCCTCAGGGTTTTCCCCTCTTTATATATATATATATGTGTGTGTGTGTGATGTGATTAAGATGGTTAGTCATTCCATTTAAGAGCTTGGCCCTAAGCTCTTTCTCCGCTTAAATGGAAGCCAAGCGAATGACTCTCGTGGGCTATCACGATATCGAATCACTTCGATCCAAAATGAAATTAATGTCGGTTTATTTCCCCCCTGATGTAGTAGCATTTTTTATATTAAATACCATTGGTTATTGGTTTACAACAAATGCAATAAAAGTAAATAGTTTGGTCCTATGGATAAGGTGGCAGTGCTTAATATTTATTGGAACTTTGGTAAATATAATAAAATTAATTGTGATATTAATTTCAGCAGAATTAAATGGTGGAATTAATGTCATTGCAAAAACAATATATTTCTAAATATTACAAAAATCATTTAAAGCTTTTTAGATTACAGAAATGTTATGCATATTTAGTTATTATCATCATCAACCTTGTGTAAGCTTAAGATTTAAAAGGCCTTTTAATAAATAACCTGCGATATATGTAGGTATATTTTTTTATGTACATACCCAATACATTAATTACTATAAAAATATTTATTTGTAATTTTCATTAACCCATTTTTGTACATACTTTTCTTAATTATTTTTATTTAAATTTCTGTTAATTTTCTTTTTATTATTTACTTACTTTTTGTATAGCAAGCAATTACATATTTTTATACAATTTTTAAACACCCTTAAATACATTTATAAAACCCTATTTAACCTATAGTAACACAATTTTTTTAGTTATATTAACATGTAATATTGTCATATATTTTTCCTGTTATTTCTTCAACAACTTTTTATTAAATTCACACAGGTTTTTTTGACATAACTTTTAAATTACAATTCAATGATATTGTCGGCAGGTGAAAACGTATTTGATAAGCAACAGTATCGTGTCATTAATTCGCTTTACCTTTTATTTTTGCCATACCCCCCGAAAAAATGCTTCAATGAATTTCATTTCAATGGATTTTCGGTTTCCTTTATTTTTTCATTATGTGAAGAGCATCAGGCAGGATTCTCGTCCTCGTCCTTTTTTTTTTGGTGCTCGATGCCTTTTACAGCGTTTGAGCATTTGGTATTTGCTACCTAGGAAAATCGGTGTAGAGAGAGGAGTGGGACTTGGCCATTACTTCGATTTGTTTCTTATTTAAATTTTGTATACGCTTCAATTGCTAGAGAAGCGAAAGGGAGTGAAGTATAGAGAGGCAGCATTAAGTGCCTTTGTCGGTTGGAAAAAGCGAATTAATGCTGAAGGAGGAACCAACAAAAAAAGTAAAGGAAAATCGCTGTGGTTTCCTACTCTAATGCGTTTAATTTATATCCTCGCCCCAACTACAACAAATAAAAGCTAAAGAAACGACTCGTGGGGGGTTGGGGATAAAATAAAAATATATATTTATTTTACAGCTGCTGCACTTAGATGGGCCATGGGCGATGGCAATAAAAAGCAGCCCCAGCAAGTGGCATTCAACACCTTTTTTTCTATTTCCTTCGCCCCCGCCAGAAAAGCTTAATAAACAAACGCCGAAAATGCTAGAGAGAGAAAGGAGCTGATGCTGAAGGTTGGTGGTGCGTTATAAACATTTAAGTCCACAATTTGCACAGCGTGTTAAGGGCTCGCACACCCACCCACACACACCTTACAACCCACACTCTGCACACACCCAAAAAGCACTCCACTTCGAGTGGAACTATCCGAGCAGCAGCCAAATGCTGGCCAAATGCAATTTTCACGTGCAACCGCAACGATATTTATGCCACACCAGCAACAAAAGCTCAGTTGGAAACGATTTTAGCACTATAAAAAAATATGTACACTTTAGTATTTTTTTAAGATTTATTTTAAGGAAAAAGACAACAATTTATTTGGATTTTTACAACTTATTAGGGTTTTCTACATATTGATACTTTGTTAAAAAATAACACACTTCTTCTTTGCAGTTTCATAATTTAAATGTTGCTTTTAAAACTAGAAAACTAGAAAAAAAGCAATGTGTAATTTTAATATAATATTCCAAAATATTAATTTAATTTTCAAAATATTTAAAAACCTTTGTATTATAATTATCTTCTCATTATTATTTATTATATTATATTTTGAGTCTTAAAATCACATTAAATTGGGGAATGACTTTTGATAATATATCTATATATATAGATATAATATTTATTAATATAATATTAATATTTATTATAATGGAAAAATGAAAAAAATATATATCTTAAGGTTTAAAAATTTAATAAATTGAAACATAAATCTATACAAAAAAATAAATAAAATCAATTAGAAACCGCTTAAATTCTGTATTAATTGTTTTATAAAACCACAAACCTTTAGTTATTTAAAAATATATTAAAATATTAAAAAAAAAAAATAAACAATTCTGAAATATTTTTTACAAGTGCCCCATGAGGTGGCCCCAGCTGCTTCTGGACACTTTTTGCCCCACTCCCCAACTGACAACAGTTGACACCCCCTGGCCCTGGCAGCCTTTCCTCCCCCCTCCCCACAGATCGGCCTGCAACTGCCCTTATTGCCCCACCCAAAGTCACAGCTGCACCTTCCCGTGTGTGTGTGGGAATGTTTGTTGTGTTTGGTTGTTGGGGTCGAAGAGCTCTATGCGTGCCTCACATTGTGGCAACATAAACATACCACCAACAGAGGCATAGGGAGTAACAGGGCCATTGTACAATTGCAAGGTAAAAATATTTTTGGAAAATTCCAAAATTGAACTTTGCGTGGAGAGAGCGAAAAAAAATATATTGGTGCATACTATACAATGAAAATTAAATTGTTAACATGTAAAAAGAGTATTTAAGGATTTTATTAAAAATAACTAAAGACTTGGCTAGGATACAATTTAAATTCTAAAAGATTTCGGTAAAAACATACTGTCCTACTGTCATTTCCTCATATATTTTAAAGCTATCAGGATAAATACATATTTATTTTTTTGTTACACTACAAAAAGTCATATTTTAAGACTTCTCAAAATAATTTTTATAGCCATTATTTCAACCCTTAAGATGGTATTATAATGTGTGTGTTGCGTGTGTGTCCAGTGCATATTTATGGCAGTTGCATTCAAATGGAAGGCTTCCATTTCTGCAGCGGACCTCTTGAAATGCCCGATGGCCATCGGCTGCAAGGATGCGAAGATGCAAGGATATGCTTCCGCTTGGCAACGACAGCGACGACAGCTACGACGACACCCCGGGAAATCTCAAGGAGTCATAAACACGAACCGAGCACCTGCAACTGCCACGATTCGCCACTTTGCCCCTGCTGTTGCCGTACTAAGGGGCTTGACTTCGGCTTCGGGTTTCCGTTTCCGGTTCCGGTGCAATGTGTCGCCGCCATTATGCAAATGCCAGGCTCTCAAGTGGACAGACTGCTCATTGCAATCTGCATTTAAATGACCCCAGCGAGGTGCTAGCAACGCTCCGAGATTTTCCGGAATCATTTGCAAAAATATTAAAGAAAAATCCCTTCTAGACCCGAATATATCTCTTGGCCAGAAGAGGGGGATGTGGACCTTGGGGCATTATGCATGCCCACGGCATGGAACGCCACCTTTAGCCGCAGTTATCATCGCAAATGAGTTGCTGGGTAATTGAAAATCTGTTTTGGGAAAAGGTAAAGGAGCAGCAGCAGCAGGCGTTGCAGAAATTGGTAATAAAAGCAGGCTAAAATTATTTTAGCGGGTAGGTTTTAAGGGGAGAAAAGTGAGATTATACATAACCTTTTATAGCTCTTAAAGACTTAAAGAGTTTTGGTAAGAAGACGTTTTTATACAGAGCATTTAGTCTTTGTATTTATGAAGTTCTTTAAATTTAAATTTCAGCCGAATCAAGCTATTTAAACCAACCCAAAAATGTGTTCCTTTGGCAATCTAATATTGCGAGTAAAATATCTGTGTGTGGAAATCTAAGCCCCAGACTAATTTTACCTTTCACAGAGAGAGGGCCTGGTGTAGGAGTAAGTCCTGCCAGGTGGAGGTCCCCTATGGCTTTCATAACTTTGACAGGGTGAGGGAAACACACGCCAGGACACACTCTCCGCCAAGGGAGAAGGCTAATAAAGTTGCACACACACACGCTCTCCCTGATACCGGCTGAAAGATTGTGTGTGTAATGCGTTTTGTTACGCTCTCGTCGCCCCCCAAGAGAGTTGTTAACGTTTTTTCATAGCCCTGTTTACTCTTTTTCATCTTGGCGCCGAGACCCTAATGACACGCCTCCTGCCTCCCGCCTCCCGCCTACGATAAGCGACAATAAACATAAAAAATGAATGCTCAGAGGAGGCCGGGTTTTCCCCGGCTT